ATTCACTCCATGTTATGTGTGGACAACTTTAGGAATCACTATATTCATAATCTATGATTTGTTATTATTGATCATGAAACTTTGTTTGGATTATTATCAAAAAACACAAGTCTCTCATTGTTCATAATTTTTTTATTTTATTGGTTTATATATTTAATTTTTTATGATAAGCTCAGAGTCTATAATTTTTTACAGACTATGTTTGATTTGTTTTGGACAAACAATTATCTATTTTTTGTGTTACTAATCTATGATGCTATATTATTTATATACGATTATATATCAATGATAAACAAATTTATATCTGATTATTTAGTTATATAGATTTACAATAGTATATCAGTGAAAATTGATGTATAAGCCATATTAATGAAAACTTACAGATACCAATTTTATCTTATAGATATGAATATGCTTAATCTTATCATGTTTTATGATGAAAAATGTGATTCGAACAACCATTATATCAATGATTCATACCTTAAAGCGTTGTGGAAGATGCAACTTTATACCTTAATGTCGTGGAAATTATCTACAAAAAACTATGATTGAATGCAAGTCATGAGGTCCAATTGATGGTGCCTTTTGATATTGAAACTTTAACATATAGCATTTTAGAAGTAAAAAATAACAATGATTTTGATATGGTATTTTAATTCATTGAGAAATTTTAATCTTTTTAACTTTCCATTGATTATCTCTATTTTTAATGGACCTTTACCCATACAATAAGTATTTGAACCTTGTTATTAAGGAGCTAGTTCCTTAATTTTGTGTTCTTCTACATTTACCAATAATAAGCATTATAGTGGAGTTGATGAGTTTTTGCAAATGGACGATATTAATGAGGGAGATGCATGTTTTAGTAAATTGGATATTCAAAAAGTTTTGCAACTCTTAACTGTGAAGAGGAATTTTGAATACAAAACTCTTAAATCAAATGGTCAGAGGTTTGATGTTGCTTGCAGTGTTGATAGTTGTAAATGGTATGTGTAGGCCTTAATGGTTTCTTCTTGCTTAAGTTTAGGTCATTAGACGGTATGTTAGAGACTATACTTGTGTTGTTGATGTCACGCATGGTGATCATAAACAAGTAACAAGCCTTATCATTAGGGAACGTGTAATGCAAAAATCTTCTACAAGCAGTTCAATGTATGAACCATCGACATAATGATTGTTTGAATCCTATTTTTCACAATAAAAAATGATAATATTAAACATCCCTATATCTACAAGATAACATGATGTTGGTAAGTTTTCATTGATATAGCTTGTATATTGTATATCACTGATATATTATTGCAAATCAATATAACCAGATAATCATACATAAACTTGTTTATCATTAATTTACAGCCATATATCAATGATGTAGTATTACAAATTAATAACATAAAAAACACATAATCATTTACTCAAAACAAATCAAATATAGTTTGCAAAAAATTCTGAACTCTTAGCTTATCTCAAAGAATCAAATATATAAACTAATAAAATAAAAATCATGAACAATGAGAGACTTGTGTTTTTTGGTAATAATCTAAACAAAGTTTCATGATCATTGATAACAAATCACAGATTATGAATAAATGAACACTATTCAATGAAGATGTTATGAAGAAATATAAAGATAGTAAATAATAGATAAAAGATCCCAACTTAGTCTCCTATCTCAAGAAATGAGAAGCAAAACCAACTTCAATCAGCAGTTTTAATTATATTTTTCACCAATGTGGAATCCTAAAAGTTTTCCTACAAACATTATTATTATCTAAAAAATATTACATTTTGTTTTAAATTATTAGGTGCATATTATACAAAATTCTAAATCATGGACCAGTTATGTGCGATATATTGTTTCTATTTTGGATATATAGCACTGAAAATTTTAGATACTTGTTAAGGGGAGTTTTTGTTAGGTAGAGAAGGAATATCGCATTCTAACTAAATTTGTAAAGGGCCATGCTCTAAATTTTTATAAATTCTATTCACATTTTTTAGGGGCTATATATTTTATGGCCACTGCGCCAATTTTCTCTTTTTTATTTTAGTATATAGAATATAATTGATATGTCTTCCATTTATAGGTACACATATATCAATTAAAATAAAAAATATAAGATAATAAAAATTGAAAGATATTATAGTACCCCCCCGTAAGACATTTTTTGAGGAGTTAAATGTTAAAAAATATAAGGTATTTTTAATCTTTTGAAGTATAATCATTGCCTTTTTAAAGTATCCTTATTGATAGTGACTTTATATTTACTGTAGGGTATTTAATGGAGATAAATATGAAGAGATAGAGTTAATTTAAAAATAGGTAACCATTTTATTGAGAGTGAGATTCGATTAAAAATGCTTTATATTTTGAACAAAAGGAGAAACTAAAAGATATGGGAGAATTTAATATATTGAATATTCACATAATATCTTAATCTTTATAACATGATTGATTTATTGAGAACATTTATTTTAAAAATATATTAATTATATTTTAAAATATTAAAATATCTTATATTTTTTAATATTATATTTCTTAAAAAAAAAAAGAGCCGAAATCCTTGAATGGAGGGAGTAAAATACAAATATATTGAGGATAAAGAGAAACGGATAGGGGAAGACGAAGAGATTGGGACAGATGTACTGTACCGGATAAAAACACACCTCCGCACCGGATACGACATCGGGGTGATAATGCCACGTGTCCAATAGACTTTCAAGGAGGACCGTTGGATTACGCCACGTCATGGAAGAGGAACCGCAGGCTTCCGAAAAGTGATGCTCTGCTTTGGCTATGGGCGCGTGGCAGAATATGGTTGGAGACAAGTGACCGGTGACAGATTCGTGTCCTTGCCAACTTGTTCGATTGGCTCCGAGATTGGATATTTTCTCACCTTCGAATTTAGGAATTTGAGAAAGTTTGAATATGAACTCGTCTTCAGAGTGGGGGAACATTAAAATTCCATGCCAAAATTGTAAAAGGAAAATTACAGCTAGATTCGATGACACTAAACTAAAGACAGTTAAAATCTTGATAATTTTTTTAAAAAAATTAATTTAAAATATTAATTCAGATAATTATAAATATAATAGTTTTAATTATAGATAAGTAATTAAATATCAAATATAACTTTTACATCATAACAAAAATTTTTATTTATCAATGTTTGAATTGATATTTATAATTTATTTTATAAAATATTTTATCAAAATTTTAATTATCATTAATTTAAAATTATGAGATTTAACTGTAAATCTTTCAATTTTAAATGTGAAATCTCAATTCTCCCGAAGTGACATTTATATTTATTTATTTATTGTGTGCTGCAAATGAATTATTCAATCTCTTTTATACATACTCCTTCTATTTAAAAATATAAAGTATTTTTTAAAAAGTTAGATATTTAAAAAATGTAAGGTATTTTTAATCTTTCAAGGTATAATCATTACTTTTTTTTTTCAAAAGTGTCATATTAATAATGACTTTATATTTATTATAGAGTGTTTAATATGAATAAATATAAAAATATAGGGTTAGTTTAAAAGTAGGTAACTATTTTATTGGAGGGATGAGATTCGATTAAAAATATTTTATATTTTTAAACAAAGGGAGTAAGACATTTCTACTTAATATTTCTTTCGTCTCAAATTATAAATTATTTTAGGATAAAATCTTATATATTAATAAAACTTATTAAATATACTTTACAATTTTACTTTTTTAAGATAAGAATATAAACTTTTAAAAACATTTTCATTTAATACTCGATTGATAAAAGAATATTGAAGAGATATAATATATGAGAAGGGTTATATAAAAAAAATATCATTAATAAAACTTTATTTTTATTAAAGTGTCTTATATTTTAAAATATTATTTTTTAAAATATTTTATAATTTAAAACAGAGGAAGTATTTATTCATTTAGAAAAATAGTTAGATAATAATATTCTAAGTTTTTTTTTTCAATTCCTCTTATTTAGCCTCAATAATTAATAATTTGTTCTCACGGGGAGATGAGTACTATCATGGTCTCGATAATTGAATTTTTAACCATGACTGAATCAGAACTTCTGATAAAGATGAAATGACAACAATTAACAACACAAATTGACATCTCTCTCTCACACGATGAGTTAAAAAGGGAAGGTTAATAAATAACAATCAAATGTTGTAAAAGCAAGTTTATATCAACTCAACTTTGGCGAAAACATTTATTTTTTAATATATTTGTGTGTGTTTTTAATGAAGCTAACTTTAGTTGCCATGCAGAGAATTCAACAAAACTGTTTAATAAAATAGACCTCTAAATAGTAGAAAAATATATATATTTAAAAAAAGGGCATGTGTTTAAAACAGTGAAGTACCAAATCTAATTTAATACATTAGTTTGATGGATATCTGTTGCATAAACCAAAAACGGAACGGATGATTCCCAGACAGCTGAGGTAGGCGTGGGAAACATTTGTAGTTGATGAACACTTGTTAATAAACTTTTAATCTAGCGACACCTATTGTATCTTTACAATCCTATCTTCTGTAGTAAAAAGTTACAAGTATCAAAACTTTCATTTGGCTAGAGGGAAAAATATTTTGTCTGTAGTGACAAGAGCCCAGAATTTTTAGAACGATAGCATACGTATAGATATATTTTACGAGAATATTAAAACTAGAATTGTTAAATAATGAAAATCATTTATATAAACTATACAATTAAAATACAGCAAAATGAAAATTTTAGTTGGGCTCTTGCCCCCTACATCGTAGTACCAGAAATATTTGCAGGTGGGATCGCTTCCGCGAATGAAAAGAAATAAAAATAAAAATAATACTCCATGTGTTCTTCGTATATTTGAGCCCATTTCTTTTTATTAAAAAATATTGCAAATATCAGAAACACTGGACATTGGCCAACAATGCAGGGAGGCACTATAAAAAGGCAATAGGTGAAGAGGCCGAAGCCAAGATAAAATCGCCCGACACGAATAAATCTTAATACGAAATCGTCAAATCCTCTTTACATCTTCAACCACTATTGCTTCAATTCTAGAACTCCCAAGAAAGATGTCAGCCCATTGCGAATTCTCGCATTCTGTAGCACCAGAAACATTCAGCACCACACCAACTTATTCTTCTTCTTCATCATCAACAGGAACATCGAACTCCGGGAACAAGAAGAATAGCGATTGCAAGAGAAGGTTCAGTAAGGATCAAATAAAGTTACTGGAGTCCATGTTCGAGACTGAGTCCAGGCTTGACCCCTCAAAGAAGTCGCAGCTAGCTTCAGAACTTGGCTTGCAGCCTCGCCAGGTGGCCATTTGGTTCCAGAACAGACGAGCTCGATCCAAGTCCAAGCACCTTCAACGTTCTTACTCTCTTCTCCGAGCCAATTACGACGTTTTGGCTTCCAAATTCGAGGCTCTTGAGAATGAGAATCATGCATTACAACTAGAGGTACTGCAAAACACTCTTTCGTAGTTTGAATTGCATGTTAGTCACTTAATGCGGTACCCTTTTCCAAGCAGAGGCTAATGATGACGATTGTGCAATCCTGAACAGTTGCAGAAGCTCAAGGATTTGGAAGACCAAACCTTTCGTCGCAAGAAAGTGAAAGATGTGAAAATGATAGATAGAGAGTGTGATAATGGTAATGAAGAGGCCATCAAGTGTGAAGCGGAGGTGAGGCCGAGTCCATCAATAGAAAGATCAGGACAGACACTTGGGATTCTTTCAGATAATGATCGGAGCATAAAGACAGGCTATTTTGGGGTTGAAGATAAACCTACGCTTCTGAACTTTGGTGATAAGCGTACTGATTGTCCCAGGACATCACAAGAAGTTTGGAGAAATTTTGAATCTGCGGATGACCTCTTGGCCCAGTCTGACACTGGTTATCAATGGTGGGACTTGTGGTCCTGAATGAAACAGTGAAGGAAGTTTTGCAAATGGTGATATATAGTTCCGTATTTCTGTTCTTATGAAGTTACATGGAAAAGATCGAGGGCCATACATAACAAAGTGAAGATTTTCTGTTCACATCTTCAGAGTTTAGGTAATGGCCAATGCCGAGTTTGCATCGAGTAAATTAAACTTGAAGGGCATAAGAATGGATTAAGGAAAGGGTCAAAAGGTCTGAGGAAATGGGATGTTTGATTTAAATCTGAATGAGGACAAATATGCAAACTAAACCTTCCTTTTCTTCCACTTTTCCTCTGCTATTTTTAATCCAAGTGCACTGTTAGGAGTGTTTTTTAGCAGACTAAAAATGGCAGGTAAAGAGCAATGCAAGTTACATGCATGTACGGATGTACCTGTTCAAACACAGACCTGGAGGTAGTAATATGATCAGGATTGAATCCAAACCAAAGCTTTTTGTATTTAATCGTTAAGAAATTTGCTTCTACACTGGCATGCTGGCTGGTTTCAAATGGCATTTGACATCGGAAATAAGGTGAGTGCGACACAGCATTCTATTACTGTCAATGACCAGTTGGGTTGCACGACATGAGAAAACATTATTATAATTAATTGTAACCTCTGCGTTAAGACTACACTCACCAATTAATAGACGATGATTCTAATAAAATGGACCATGTCTCATCAAGTTTAAATGCTCATAAATGCACAAAACATTTTTACGAGATCTACCCCTTTTAGGCCCAATAAGGCTTCAATCTAAAACAACTCGGATATTCGTTAAAAGCAAAGAAGCTACCGGCATTCCAAAACCAGGTGGTGTCGTTTTCATGATAATTGCCAGATAAACGACCAATCGTTTAAGCCATCATTTGACATTTCTTACCAGCTTAGCCTTCTCAGCCTGACAGTCTCCTGCCCGAAGTCTCGTCTTTCCCTCTACTCGCTAGCTCGGTAAAGCGTATGAAATTGCAGGGACATTCGTAAGTCGTGATGAACAATTTGTCCAATGCGGCTTTGAGAGACGATAGAAAACATTTTTGCAGCTTCAAACCCATTCCAACCCTCGCTCTTTACATTTTAATACCCCTTTTCTTGTTGGGTCTTGCCGTTTCTGTCTTCTTTCTCATTGTGGTTCGAAATGCAGCTTTCTTCGTCTCCTTCGTTTTGCTCTTTTCTCTCTTTTTCGCTTTCATAGGTTGGAACACCCACAACTGGAGGAAAAAAGGTGCAATTTTTCTCTTCTTCCGCTCTTTTCCTGACTCTGACATTCGCCGTGCTAAAGAGGGTCAGCTCGTAAAGATAACCGGGGTACTATTTCTGTGAACCTTAACTCCTATTGTTGATTGCAAGTTCTGGGTTGTCATAGCATGTAATGGGGAATTAAGGGAGTTCAAAAGTGACGAATAATCCTTTCAAGACATATGAGGGTAAAACTCTGCTGCTTTATACTTGTCGGCATCGAAGAGAATAACTCCTCTTTCAATCTCTTGTATTATCAACATGTTTGACTCCATTTAGCAGTTAGAATAGTTGTTTTTGGATGTGTTATGTTCTGCTAGAATTGAGAGATAATCAATGTTCAAATGAAGTTTTGGTTTAACGATTCCTGTTTTAAAAGAAAAACTTTGGAAGCTAATAGCATCTCTTAGCTGCACCCAGGAACCTTCATTTCACGTTTAAGTTCATGGATCCTGTAAATGTACTTTTCATCAATACTTCATTCTCCTTCCTACAGTTAATTAGTCCACTTTCTACTTTATTTTCTCTCGGGTAAAGCACATCTACAGCAATTAGCTGAATTTGAGGGACAGTGTATATACTTGTTTAGAATGGTCGCATTCCTTGTCAACGTTGTCAATTCCGTGGCTCTATGCTTGCAGTGAGAATCATAGAAGTCCTTGAGACAACTATGCCAATGTATTGTTGTGCTTGTTGTTTGATTCAGATAAAGAAAGAGTAGTCTGCTCCTTTCTGCCTCTTTCTTAGTCTTAGTAAATTAAGGATTTTCCATGTGGTCACATTAGCAACTTATTTCCTAAAATGATCTTACTTCATGACTTTCCTCATTATGCATGGAAAGTTGCAATTTATCAGTTGCAAAGTCGCTATCAGAATTAGGTTAATATTTTGTTCTACTTAATTAAAGGTCCCATCACATTTGGTACTGATGACGATTTCAGCTTGCAACTTGTGGCAGTGTCTCACTGGAATCTTCATATGAAAAGGCAACCAGATGCGTCTATGCATCCACCCTTTTGTATGAATGCAGAGGATTTAGCATGAGACCAGTGAATATAAACAAATCATGCTTTCGTTGGAATTTAGCTTATTGTGAGGTATGTGAGTTACTAGGACTAATTTTTTTTTTTTAACAAATTTCTTATTCTCAGGATTTCCAGCTCTGTTTTTCATGAAAATGACAATGCTTATTTTTATAAGTATGTTTAGTTTAGTTCTGACCTCTTGTTCATCAATTAATATGAGTTGACAGAATTTTCTGGCTGAGATGTGGACATTTCATTAATTTCATTTTTTCAAAACTACCTTGTCATGTCTTTGGCATTGTAATCATAGAAGACGAGGCGAATTTTTTGTTTAATTTGTGCACTGATCTAGGCGCCACAATGTGGGAAATAAGGTGGTGCTGATATAGGTCTCAAAGTGAGGTTGAAAAAAACATAAAACAGTAAAGCTTGGGTTGCTGGGAGTGGCAAAAGATGAAGATGATTCTATTTCTAGCAAAAGTTCAACGTCAGCCACGTTCTCTTCATTCATATTTAGTCACGCAAAACGATTCTAAAATAAATGATTACCTGGTTTTGACGGTGATGATACCTTGCCTTAATATCTGTATATTGTAAAGCTTTTATTTTAGTGATAGTTGGCATTAAGAAAAAGGACGAATGAGAGTCCTGTGCCATTCTCTCTTTCTCCCCCTCCATATTTCATCTAGTTTGAAGTCAAGTCAGTTTGTTTTTTTCCCTCTCATTACTGATATTCAATTCTGCTTTATGAAAGTTTTTCCTTCTATCATGACCATTACAAATATTTCATATAATATGTTTGATTGAAAAAAAAAAAAAAGAAATTCCTGTTCTAATTTGGGATATCTTAGACTTTTGCTTCCCAGCAAGCACTTCTAGTTATGTTAGATTAAATGTATGAAATTTCTTTTACTGAAGCCTCTCCCTTGATTTCCTGCCTCCTATATTAGTCATGAATGTCAAGAAAGCACTCCTTTTCCTGATCTTATGTTTCTGCACATAACAAAGAGAATGATGACCACATCATCCTACCATGGTGGACATAAAGTCTGCTAGGCATTGCGATGAAAATGGCCACTTCATGGATGAGACAAATAGCACAGCATTCTGTATTGACTTTTGTGCCTTAGTTGATCTGATTATCCGAAAGATCTAATTCAGCAGCTTATTTGAACTTATAATTGAAAGTAACCCATGGCTGATGAAGTTTAATATTATTCTTCTGGTTAATCCTGACAGAGGTTCTCTACAGACTTTTACATAACAGACCAGAAGTCTGGGACACAAGTGGTGGTGAAAGCCGGTTCCGGCAGCAGGGTTATACCATTAATTGCAGAGAGCCAAATTATTCATACCACAGGACAATGCAGAATCTTATCTCCTCACTTGAGAAAATGGTTAAAGGACCGTAACCTCTCCGCTGAAGCTCGATTTCTGCGTCTAGAAGAAGGGTAATACTCATGGAAGATTGAAATTATATTATAGCATGTGTTTACCATCACCTCCTAAATCCTAAGCATGTACATCAGCTCATAGGACATATGATGGTCTCAATTCTCAAACGCTGAAACAGGATAAAGACACTAAGATGATAACATTTGAAGTGAGCATTTGTAATTTGAACAGTTAATGCCATGTTTGCTAATTGCTTCTAACACATTTTGGATACAGGTCCATGGCTCTATGCAAATCCAGATTTATTGTAATTTTGGAGTGGCTGTATATAATATATTTGGAGAGAAATAGAGAGGAAAGAGTACAAGTGTGGGAAAAAAAAATGTGGGCCTCATGTACTGTCGTGCTATTTTGTGACACTTTCTCAATGATTGCATGTTTGGAAAGGATCCAATTGGGATCCTGGCTTCATTGGTAGATCTTATGAATTGACATTTCCATAAATATGGGCAGGTATGTACAGGAAGGTAGCTCTGTGACGGTAATTGGAATGTTGCATAGAAACGATGATATTGTCATGATCATTGAACCACATGGGGTAATTTCCACAGGATGTATGTGGCAAAAGCTTCTTCTCCCTGTTGACATTGATGGGCTCCTAATTGGGATCTCTCAGATGACTGTCCCTGTGACCACCCAAGAGTCAGGCCAGCCCATAGAACAGTAATGTCTAACATACGAAATTAATTGTCATCTAGGATGATTTTGATGGTGAGAACGTCTTTTATAAAGTATAAACCTCACTCTTTTTGGTTATATACTTCAAAATTTGAAAAATATGCATCCTCACTGTTTTTGTTAACTTTGGTTCTTTCCCACCAAGATATCCGTTTTTTTAGCTTATGCTTCAGTTATTGCTTATTTGATGTGTAGGATTCGGAAGATATCTTTTCCTGTGAAATGTCTTCTGATTCAAGTTGTTGAGTTTGATATGGTTCGAACCCTTGTTTCCATAATTTTTGCTTCATGAATTTTATGAATTTTATGTTTCTCGAGCGGTGATATTGTTCCTAAACAAGTTGCTGAATTCTTTGCAAGTATTTACCTGTATTTCGAATATAACATGATGCCCATTCCAGTAACATGTTCATCAAATCTGAGAATATATGGAATAAATTTTTATGTAATGTTTAAATTAATCAGAAAGCCTACGCTGCTTCTTTCTATGTGGTCTATAAGTTTATTGGCTTTAATATAATGACGCCAGTCCTGAATCAAAACTTGTAGGGAGCCGAATTGTTCACAATACAGGAATGATATTTAGCTCATTTCAGGAGTTTAGTTTTGATTAATTGGAATTGTATTGTAGGATAAAAGCAGGGCTTAAGTTGCACCTTATTTGCTGGTCAAAAAAATAATGACATTGCACCTTGTTTTCAGAGGACCAAATTTGGGCTCATTTTGAGCCTTACTACTTATTGTGAATTGTTGTCTCATGTTTTGTTTTTCTTTTCTTTTCTTTTTTTTTTTTAAATACTTGGATAAGCTATTCTTCGAAGGGAATGATACTTACAATTTAAGGCTTGCGAGGGATTAAGTATTGCTTATTCCCATTTTAGTTAGAGGGGATCAAAGGGAGGAGATATTCGGATGAAATCTGTTTTTTTTTTTTAAAGGATAAGCGAGGTTATAAAACTTGTGGTAAAAATATGAATGAAAAAGTAAAGAAAATTAATAAAAATGTTTTAAACAAGATACCTGACAAAACTCGATTTCTATTCTGTCCCCTTAATCCTTTGTGTAAACTAAATTATCTTCCTTTAGATCATACAACTTATGAGAATAGGCATGATGATATAGCAATATTTTGTTTTGCTTTTAATAATTTAGTCATTTTTTACTTATGGAAGGGTCACCTTAATAATTTAATGGGTGATTTTGGCAAATAAAAAATATTAATTGTTGATGTAATCCATCATCATGAAAAGCAATGCTTCTTTTTAATATAAAGCAATGGAGTTACTAATCGCAAAATATGCATTTTTTTTTCCCAAAAAAAGGGAATAGCTACTGATATTGATGGCTTATTTTGCTCCCTACCATTCTTTGGGCAAAAGTTCAGTCAAAAGAAATTTATGGGATTGGATAAAGTCTTTGACTAACAAAAGTTTAATTACGAAGGGCTATACAAGGTTTTATAATTAGGCCTATTAAGCTATGTTCAGCACCATTTTTACACAACTAGATGACGATTAGGATTAGAGCCATCTAATGGTTTTGTGGGCTCAAAAAAATTTAATGGGCCTATCATTGTGGCTCTTTGTGGATCACCTAAACCTCTTTCGGTGATATTATCATTTGCAGTTCCATGATTTATCATCATGTATCACATTGATATCAAGTTAGGGTTATTTTCGACACTCAGATTAGATATTTAGAAATTTGAAAAATGTACATAATATTCTTTAAGGATACGTTTGGATTGATGCTATAGTAAGGGAAAAATGTATCTAGTCTTTTTTTAAAAAAATAAATCGACATCAAATCTTATTTTCTATCTCTCTTTCTATAAATTCCAAGTAATAAATCAAGGAATGACGTAGGAATGAAAATGAGCTTTGACTGTAGTGAGAAATTTGCATCGACCAAACTTAAACTCGTTTGGATCAATTTCATTGCCATATTAAACTAGATTTGAATCAATTTTCATGATTGTGATTTCCAATGTGCGCCAATTTAGAATAGTCATCCTTAAAGATTACTCTTTCTGTTAAAAAATATAAGATATTTTTAATTGAATCTCACCTTCCAGTAAACTCATTAATTATTTTCAAATTAATACCATCTTTTCATAATTACCTATATTTAATAAGATATTTCACTTTAAAGTAAATATAAAATAATCTATTCATTAGGGACATTTTTTTTAAAAAAATATAATGATTATACCTTGAAACATTAAAAATGTCTTATATTTTATAATATCTATTTCATTAAAAAGTACATTATATTTTTTAATAGAGAGAGTATTTTTTAATGCACAAGAGTGAAACAATTGGTAAAAAGATAATTAGAAATAGTATAGGCCAATTTCAATATTAAATTCATTGCAACTTTAAACAATGAGACTAATGTCATGTGACAAGCGACTCATTAATTTTTATTGTCATATAATATTTTTGGTTTTATTTTTAAAAACAAAAAATTTCTAGTCAAAGTTAAGTTTATGCCTCTTAATATTTCATAGTGGACATAATCAAATGGGGCAATAGGAAGGGCTTTAAATTAAGGATTAAATTTCGTTTGTATCCCTGAAGTATACTTTTAAGTATCTTATATTCTATTTTGGTCCAATCAATCCCCTTAAACTTTTAAAACCGGATTACCCAATATTCTATCATTAAAATGAAGCTATGGATGTTTAAGTGATGCACAGGTGTCATCTGAGGTGTCCATTTTTTTGCTTCCGTCTTAGCTTATGTGGCCCTCTCATTTCTCTCATCCATCTTCCTCTTTCATGTTCAAGAAATTGCCCTTTTCGACTCCTCTTGCCCGAACTTGTCTCTTCCATCTTCTCCATTCCTCTTGTCCGAGCATTAAAAATTTGAATTATAGATTTTCTAGATTTTTTGCTTCCATCTTCCTCCTTCATCTTATCTTTGATTTGTGTTGTCGGATGGTGGTGGTTGGTTGTTGTTCCTGCCTTTTATTTTTCCTTGATTTTGACTGTGGCTGGGTTTATTTTGGTTTGACGGGTCGAAAGTCATTGAAGTTTTGAAGAAAGGAGACCAAAAGTTCTACGAAAATAGGGTTAGAGATGCAAGTGATATTTGTTTGCACAAGTGATGAATCTAGTAGTGGATTTTGATTGCTTCTTGTCTTTTCCTTTTCTGATTGAGCATACTCCATCTGTCAGGGTGAATCAAACTGTGAGTTCTGAGTTCGATTTCTCGTCGAGTTCACAAATTTCGTTTGCCTTTTTCGGTTAGATTTTTGGATTTTGGCTGGAAGGAGAGGGAGTATTTTTTTTTTCCCTTAAAAAAATTTGGCTCATTTGCCAGGTGGAGGATGTGAGTGACATGTGGGCGTACATGTAGGCAAAACTAGTCAACACGCATACATTTGATGGCCAGCGTTCAATAATTTAATGGCAGGACTAGGTGATCTGATTTTGAAAGTTTAAATGGTTGATTGGATTAAAGAAGAGTATATGGTATTGAGTGCTTTTTGGAGTGTAATTTAGGGGCAAAAATGGACTTTAATTCTTAAATTAAATATGCTTCTTACCTAAAACAAGACTAGTTGTGAATTTAGGCAACGTCTGTGTATGAATTATTTTTTAATGCGTATGAAAAGGAATTCAAAGTAACATGAAGTTAGCTCGTATTGTAAGAGTGAAAATTCAAACTAGAGCAAAGAATACATATAGGGTTTGACAGGCCACACATTTAAATTTATTTTTATAAGTGTTTGGGATTAAAAAATTAAGGATTTTTGGCATAATTGGCTTCTAAGTTTGGCCTAGTTAGACCCTATAAAAATCAACTCAAGTAGCATTTAGGCTCTTTTTATTTACTCCTAAAAATAAAATATTTTCAATTTTTAAATTAAATTTAAACTTTAAAATGTGTGTTTAAATTTATATTATTTATTTTTAATTTTTGAACATTCTAATTTGTATTTTTTTAAAAAATATGTAATATTATAATGTAAAAATTTTACTTTTAAGAATAAAAAAAGGCTTATAGATCTGGCCCTGTGCCCGATCAACAAAGGTCAGATTTGAAGAAGTGACAAATTTTATGATAATCAGATGGACTAAAGTCCATTTAGTGGCTCTACTTCAAACTCTCCTAGCATATATAAAAAGGGTTTTTGTATAATTTTACATATATACCTAAAATTACACTTGATTTAATATCATAAAAATAACACTTGACTTAAATTTATACTGTATGAGTGAAAATTGAATCTCTCAAAATCTTATATCATCAATTATATCATCAATTTTTTTTGTCAGAATCTCTAATCATGCGATTAAAAAGATAGTGAAAGGACGATTTGCGTATAAATTTTAGGTTATCTTTGTTTACTAGAATAGAATGAAATGAAATGGATTGAAAAAAATTAAGGTAAAAATAAGATGATCGAATAAGATAGGTAAGCACATTCATAAGGGGGATAGGTAATTTAGTGTATGAGATTGGGAATCATGATTTATGATATTTTTGGAGGGTGTAATGGTTCCCACATTTTTAATATATATTAATGAATTTTATTATGTTTATCATGAAAGGATTGGTGAATTAATTTATTTTTATCTTGATTTTTTCAATCCATTCTATTTTAGTAAGTAAAAGTAACTTTGTTTCTTCTTTTAAACACACATACACTCATTTTTTCCTTTTATTTTTTTTATTAAAATTCATATTATAGTGAATTCGAGTTTTTAATTCCTGTCAAGATCCCTGCACATGAAATAGTTACTTAATCTCACCCTATATATAATTTATTAGGTATTAATTGTTTAAGAGCATTTTCCACCTCATTTAGTGTGTTGATCAATTCCAACTATGGACCAGAACCAGTCAAAGTAGCATCAGCTTCTTGATGGCCAAAAAATGCGCACTTGTCCGGAATATACCAAACCTTGGAACATAATTTTAGTTAATAGGATTCAAAAAATTCTAGTCAAAGTCTAATACACTTAATTTGGGTCAATATTGCTGATCATATAGCTTGCTGAAGCAGCCAGCAGTGAAGATATACCGTGAAGAAATTGCAATATAATATAGTTAGTTTTATATTTACTAAAGAAAGAAATTAAATTACGTTCCCAATTTCATTTACAAGTCAAAGTTCAATATCTACAAGTGGGTGGAACTTGTAGAAAACTATTTTTTAATTTTAAAAGCTGTATGTAATTCACCCATACACACGCTACATAGACATCATAGTTTTGTTTCATTTTACTTTGAAAAAATCCCGCACAAGAAATTTAAATATAAACGAGTCTCTTGAAATTATAAGAAGTACTCTGAAATCCTAT